AAGTAAAAACCGTGAAAAATAATCACTACAAGAAATTGTCAAAATGCCAACAAACAAAATATCAATAGAATAGCAACAAACTCTTTCAAAATTGTATTAGCAACGGATTATTTCGTTGGTAAATAGCAACGGATTTTTTCCGTTGGCAAATAGCAACAGAATAGCAACGGGCACCTTCAATATTGTATTAACAACGGATTATTCCGTTGGTAAATGGCAACGGAATAGCAACAATTTCTTTCAAAATTATAATAGCAACGGACTATTTGGTTGGTAAATAGCGACGGATTTTTTCCGTTGGCAAATAGTAACGAACACCTTCAATATTGTATTAGCAACGGATTATTCCGTTGGTAAATAGCAACGGATTTTTTCCGTTGGCAAATAGCAACGGAATAGCAACAATTTCTTTCAAAATTATAATAGCGACGGACTATTTGGTTGGTAAATAGCGACGGATTTTTTCCGTTTGCAAATAGCAACGGAATAGCAACGAACACCTTCAATATTGTATTAGCAACGGATTATTCCGTTGGTAAATAGCAACGGATTTTTTCCGTTGGCAAATAGCAACGGAATAACAACAAACTCTTTCAAAATTGTAATAGCAACGGACTATTTCGTTGGTAGATAGCAATAGAATTTTTTTGTTGTCAAAGAGCAACGGAATAGCAACAGACACATTCAATATTGTATTAGCAACGGATTATTCCGTTGGTAAATAACAACGGAATAACAACAAACTCTTTCAAAATCGTATAATGTCATTATTATTATTATTTATAACACTTAAAAAAGTAAAATTCTTTATATATATATATAATTATAAATATTTAATTTACATTAACATTATTTAGTTATGTAATTAATTTAAAAATATTTAAATCAATTCAAAATAAATATGTGCCACATATGCATTTCATTCATTTTTAGAATTTGTTATATATCATAATAATTAAAAAAAATCATATATATATATATATATGATTTTATGACATTGTTAAATATGTTAAGCTTAAAAGTAAAATTAGTAATTAGGCCGTATTATCGTTGAATTTTGTGATATTGTTTTTTAATTAGAGTATTGAATATTATGATAGATGATAGATGATATTACAAAATCATATATACATATATATGATTTTATAATTGTACTTATTATTTATAAAAATATTTAGATATATGATAAAATTTTACCAAAATATTTATTTTAATTTGTGAATAAAAAGTTTTATAATGACACTTATTTTGAAAGGAATATAATATAATTTGTTATCAGTTAGTGCATTGTACGAGTTGTGTACTAATTTAAATAGACACATTTACGTAATTTTGCACAGTTTAAATTACATATAATATTTTCAATAAATTAATATAGGTAAATTATATTACATATTTATTCGATATTTTTATTTTGTAAACATTATTTAATGAGGTAATAAATTTGAATGATAAGGTGGTCGACAAAAACTCTAGAAAATTGCGAGAATATATATTTGTGTTTGTGTGTGTATACATACATATATAAATGAAAATTTATTGTGTAGTCCAAATTTGAGTTTCAAATTTAAAATTTAAATAAGTAATTATTCATAACTTATGAGTCAATACTAACTTTGACGTAAATGAAATAGTTAATTATTTAATTTAATAAATTACTCAACTACTTAAAATTTTTTATTTGAATAGTTTATAAAAAAATAAATTCATTTTAATTAACTAAACAATATAAGTTTTATAATTATACTTATTATTTTAATAGATATTTAAATATTTGATAAAATTTTACCAAAATATTTCTTTAATGGAATCACATTGTAATTGAATTTATAAATATTTTTCTTAAAATATCACTTATTTTGAAATAAATATTATATAATTTATTATCAGTTAGTCTACCGTACGGGTTGTGTACTAATTTAAATAGACACATTTTATGTAATTTTTCACAATTTAAATTTCATATAACATTTTAATAAGTTAATATAGGTAAATTGTATTACACATTGATTCGATATTTTTAATTCATAAATATTTAATGTGTATTTTTAATTTATAAAATCTAATACATATTTCTTACCCGTACGTCACACGGGATTCGTACTAGTTCATTTAATAATGTCATAAATTCATAGATACTAATATATATAGTCACTATTTTTATAATTGGACATTAAAAGAAACACCTAATATAATTGAACGGTTAGATCATAAATAATATAGAAATATTTATGAATTTAAATATAGAATATAATTTATATATATTTACTAATTATTTTCTCGTATATATATATTAAAATTTCGTATATATATATATATATATTTACTAATTATTTTCGTATATATATATATATATGTATATATATATATACATATATATATATATAGCCGAGTGGTGGTGTTATATATATATAAGAATTGTAGAATCCAGTCTCATACATTCATATAGCCTAGTGGTGTTGTTACCTCTTTAACTTGCAAGAGGTCTTGAGTTCAAGCCCTATTGTTAGGAGAATCGTGAGAATTACTAAGGATTATATTGGTGGATGGCCATGGGTCATGGTGAGCCGTGTGGTTCAGCCCTATTGTTAGGAGAATTGTGAGAATTACTAAGGATTATATTGGTGGATGGCCATGGGTCATGGTGAGCCGTGTGGTTCAAGGTGGCCATGGGCTCAAGGTGAGCCAAGTTGGATCAATATTATTATTATTATTATTATTATTATTTTTGCTGAAAAATCCGTTGGTAATCTGTTGGGAAAAGTCCATTGGGAATCCGTTCGGAAAAAATATGCGTTGCTAATCTGTTGGAAAAATTTCATTGGTAATCCGTTGGGAAAAAATATTAGTTGGCAATCCGTTGGGAAAATTTCGTTAGTAATCTGTTGGGAAAATTCCGATGGTAATCCGTTAGAAAAATATCTGTTGGTAATCCGTTGGGAAAATTACGTTGGAAATCCGTTGAGAAAAAAATCTGTTGGTAATCCGTTAGTATATTCGTAACTAATATGTTGGCTTTCTGTTAGTAATTTACCAACGGAATGATTTAGCAACTACATTTTCCGTTGGGAATCCATTGACAATCTCATGAAGCATTTCCGTTGCAAATTTGTTGGTAATCCTTTGGGAATTTTCCCAATGGATTGTATTTTCTGTTGGCAAAATTTAGTAACAAGCCATATAGCAACAAGAAAATCTGTTGGTAAGCCGTTGGCATTCCGTTGGAAAATTTCATTACCAACGGATTATTCCGTTGGTAAAACTCATATTTCTTGGAAAATTTCATTACCCATCTCAATTCTCATAAGCCAGCTCCGACGAAAGTTTCTCTCACGCCTTAACCTAACCGCCGCTCTTATCAATCGTCCGTTTTGACCTCTTCCGGCGACGGCGACGCCGTCTCTGCGGCCGTCGCTGGCCGCCCACCCTCTATGCCGACGATTTTCTTAGCCACCTGCCGTCTTATAGCAACCTCTCTCGTCTCTTGTCTGGTGGTGGGTGGAGAACGGCGGCGGTTCCGATCGTCATCCGGCGGTGTCCTCGTTGCTGCTTGTTGCAATTGGGAGTGTCGGTAAGTTCTCTCCCTCTTGCTCTGGTTTAGTATGGAGGAATTGGATTTTGGAGAGATTGGGGGTTAGGGTTCAATTGGGGCTCCGAGACTTCTCCGATGGGGTCGTCTGAATGGGCTTGATTTGGCCCGGTTGGGTGTCGTGGTGCTGCGTATTGGTGTGGGATTGGGTCGATTAGCTGGGGTTCGGCTCCGGCTGGGTAGTGGGCAGAGGTGGCGAGAGGGTGTTTGTTCGTCTGGGGCTGTGGATGAGGGTCGGCGGTGGTCGGGTGGGGCTTTGGTGGCTGCTGTGTGTGTCAAGTGGTAGTCGCCGGAGTTGGAGTTCGGGCAGGTAGCCGCTATCCTGGAGCAGCTCATTTTGGGTTGCGTGGGATCCAGTATTCTCGGCCAGGGCTAGTGGTGTTAGCCTTATTCGGGTTGCTGGTTGGGGTGGCTGGGCCTATTCTCCTCGGTCAGTGGGTGTTGTCCGTTGGTTGGGTTCGGGGGCGGGGCCCTGCCTCTTGTTAGGCCTGCGGCAGTTTCGGGGGCTCGGGCTTGGCTAGGGACCTTTCCTGTGGTCAGTTGTAGCTGCTTATTCGGCTTAGTTGTCTCTCCGGGAGAGGGTCGTTTTATTTTGTTTAGGGTGTTCGTCATGTGTATTCTTTTAGTTTGTTTGTCGTTTTCTTTTCTTTGTTCCGTGTGTTTGGTTGTCTTTGTTTTGGGAATGAATACAGGCTAGGCATTGTGCAGTGGCTCTGTTATTTATTCTCCTTTAGTTTCGGTTGTTGAGTTCTCTAGGCCGCCATGTGCGTGTCCTCTCAGTTTGCTATTCCTGTTCTTTTCTAGGAGTGTTTTTGGTCTGGGCCGTTGGCCCCTGTCTCATTACCCTGTTGGGGTCGTAGATTACCCTGTTGGGGNTAAGAAATAATGGTGCGAGAATATTGTGGTTCATTTTTAAGAGATGTGGAATATTTATCTTTGTTTATTTATATTTAGTTAATTAAATATTAGTTATTAATTAAAAATATAAGATATCATGGTAATGGTGTAATACTAATTTGTCATTAAAAATATGGTACAAGCAAGGATTTTTTGGTAGAATATTAGTTAATAATTAAAAATATAAGATATGATGGATATTAACAATAGAGTTACTTATAATAAGAGTACAAAAATCTAGATATCTATAATTGAGGGGGCAGAAATTATAATTTACCTGAAAATTGAATTCTCATACGTTTTCAGAAATCTAAAAGCTAGCATGATTTGCAAGGATGGTGAAATTACCAATATGCCCCCACCATGCATTCAAGAAATAATATCCAAAAGCAAAAGGGGTGTGCCTTTTCTTTTGTGCATGCACTTTAGGTTAATCATATTTTTGGCTAACGTTACAAGTGCCCGTATTTGTTCTTTATAAATACGTACCATAGCCATTCATTGTTAGCCATCAAACACACTAAGTTTTTACTTTCGAATATCCCCAGTTCTTAAGTGTTATAACTTTTTTTCTCGACCGAAAAATGGCACTTCTCGCTGGACACTGGACATTTGTGTTTGGACTTCTTGGTAAACAAATAATTAATGTTATTCATATTTTATAGTGTTGTTATATATTTTGTTTTAAATTTTCCTTTTCCTGATACTTGTACTGTTAGCAATTGACCAATCTTAAAAAGTGTGTGTTTTGCAGTCATTAATTTCAAATAATTAATTTCCAAGTTTGATTGAGAATTTAAAATCATGAATAATATAATGTTTTTATAGTTATTAGTTTCATCANAATTATTATGCAGGCAATATTGTCTCCTTCTTGGTGTTTCTTGCTCCCATGTAAGAAATTAAATGTTATCTTTGAATATTGGCATCAACTTGCTTTAAGTCATTTTGTTATGTCTATGCATTGTCTAAATTTATCGAATAAATTTATCCCAGCTCGACTTTCTACCAAATCTACAAGAAAAAATCGAGCGAAGGCTACCAATCAATCCCGTACGTTGTCGCTCTATTCAGTGCCGTGCTATGGATATACTACGCTTTCCTCAAGACCAACACCACGCTACTCATCACCATAAACTCGGTCGGAATTGTTATTGAGACGATTTACATCGTTTTTTATGTCGTCTACGCCACAAAGTCGGGAAAGGTATGCAAAAAATGAAAATAAAATTGTTACTTCGAATATCTTTCTTAGAAAAAATGGTTCTCAATTACATTTTTTGTTGTTTTTCCATTTTTATTGAATGCAGATTCAGACGGCGAAGCTTCTGGCTTTGCTCATGGGTTGCGGTGTGGGATTGATCGTTGTTACTCAATTTCTCGTGAAAAGTCCCGTGCAACGTGCAAACATCGTCGGGTGGATTTGCCTAATATTCTCTTTGTGTGTGTTTGTTGCCCCCTTATGCATAGTGGTAAGTATATATGAATTGTAAAATATATTTTATAAATTTGTAAGTGAGTATTAATCACATTAATCATTCATTTTTTTTGGATATCTTTAAATTATATATTTTTTTCTTCTAATTTTGCAGAGGCATGTTATACGAACCAAGAGCGTCGAGCACATGCCATTCCTTTTGTCGTTCTTCCTCACGCTTAGCGCCGTCATGTGGTTTTTCTACGGCTTATTGCTCAAAGATTTTAACATTGCCGTAAGTATACACATCATTCATATG